TACGTATTTTATTTTTGGCTGATAATAATTTTCCTTACTAAGAATTTATGTGTAATTTAACCTGACATTCTTTCTCTAGGTATATTTTACCACCTACGTAAAAATAAGAATAAATACGTAGTTTCAAAACAAAATTACGATATATTTTTATTATGAAATTAGTTGCTTTTATACTTAATGCATAAACAGAGGTAGGTACCAACTTCAAAAACAAAATTATTTTCTCATTTTATAACTTTTAATTTAAAAAACCTTTTTATCTGATTTTATAACTATTTTTTATATTAAAAAACGTAAAAAAAGATTTAAACGCAAAAACAGTTGGTTTTAATGGTAAGGATTTTCTATTTTGACAGTGGCAGTGACAGTTCTATATGCGGTGTTATTTAAAATATAAAAATGAGCTGTGTACAAGAAAAAAATATTTAAAAAAAGGTATGGGAACAAAAAATAAAGCAACAAAAACACGCATGAGTCATTCCAAATAAAAACACCAAATGGGGTGCGCTGCTTGATTTTATATTTTGATAAAAAAAAATTGAGGATGATCTTTTAGGTATCAAAAATCCGTTGCCGTTTTAATTTTTGGATTCTTTACTTTTAATCGGCACCCTTTAGAAATCTGAAATCGTGTCAATTTCTTACTCTCTTATAGTGGGCCAGAACTTTTTTTCTGTGACAAATATTGAAATAATTTTAATTTTGTTTTACTGTTAAGTAAGTGTGTTTTCGATATAAATTATTATTATCCAATTAGTTAATCTCATAAAAGAATGGTAAACAACTAAAGATTCATGATAATTTGCCAATTTTTGTGATTTTTGTCTGGCTCCTGTGCCTATTCTACTAAATCTAGAAAGTTATTTTTTTTCAGGGATCAAGTACTTATACAATAGAAAACGTAACTATTTTTTTAAGTTAAGTAAGGCTATCATTTTCTTTATTAAAAAAATTATTGAAACTTGATAATTCTTAAAATTAGTCAATTTTGCCCTCAGAAATCATTATGTTGTGGAAAAAATAAAAATCCAAAATTTTCAGGAAATGTAGTCCCCACCTTCATCTTTTCAGTCCAGTTAGTCTTGTTTTGTTATTTTTATTCCTTTAAAAGATATATTAATCTTTTTAATGCCCGTTTAGTAGCGATATTGTTAGTTTTATTTATAATTTAAATAAATCATTTCAATAATTGCCACAGAAAAAAAGTTTTAGCCTCGTGCCGATTAAAGATAAAGCAACTAAAAATTAAAACGGCAACGGTTTTTCTTATGATACCTAAAAGATCATCCTCAAATTTTTTTCATTAAAATAAAAAATCATGCAGCGCACTTTTAAATTCATTTTTGGTGTTTTTATTTGGATTGACTCGCATGCAATATGTTGAATGCAGCGAAAGTCTAAAGAGAAGAGCAGATAACAAAAAAAGGATTGTCCAATTATTTAAAAAAAATAATTAACACAATTGTTTTTTAAATAATTTACAACACAAAATAAATCAAACCAATTACCCCTAATTAATGACGTGTTCGTAATCCAGTGTTGCCGGTTCTTCTAGACGAGAATGACAGATTGATAATTTTGGTTGGACACACTCAACATTATCGATTATTATTGAAAAATTGTGCGGTGAAAGTTAACAAAAATTTATATGGCACTTCTACTAATTTTCAACGTCACATGTATTTAATTAACGCATATCTTATAACATGACAATAAGAAATCGTTTTTTTTTCTCGTTACAACTTATGCCTGTAGAATTGGCATGTTAATTTTTGTCAACATGCACAACACAGTATAGCAATAATAAACGATAACATCCCGTGTAGTCTTAACAACGATATTAATTTTTTACTCGAAAACCAGACTGTCAATCTTTCTAAAACTTTGTAAATGTGTAGAATCTACTACAACCGAACTTTCTTAATAAAAATTTATTCATGAAACGTCCTTAATAAATTCCACGTCTATTATAATGAGATCCATTATAATACAATTTTTTTATTACGATTCAAATTTTTAACTTAATTTTTTTTGTTAAATTAAAATTATTGAACATGTAGGTACGATAGTGAATATAAAATTGAAAATTTTACCCCGCCAGAAATTGTAACAGGTCGCAAAAAAGGCAAACAACGTATTACCCGTAAAATCAGCAAAAAGATTGTGAGTGTTAATTTTCTACTTATTTTTGTTTTTAACGTACCTACTTTTAGAAAAAAAACAAAACTTAATATATTAATTTTTGATTTTATAAAAAACTGTCTATTTTTTGCAATCCAACTTTGTTTTTATAATAAAATGTAGGTTGGCTTTTATGGTATTGGGGAAAATAAACGCAAAATAAATCAAAGTGTCTTTTTTACAAAAAAAAATTAAGCTATATTTTTAAAAAAATTAACTACCTTTAAAAACAAAAACAAAAAATAATAAAAAAAACTATTCAGTTTTTAAAAAAGTATTCAGCATTCATAAAGAAGACCCATTTTTTATATTTGGGTGACATCCGTACAGGGGCGTAATGCATTAAATTTCGTAGTATTTTATAAAAATTAAAATATAATATTAGAACCTAAGCTTAAACTGTATTATTATTATATGCGAGTGGTATTTTTATTGATTTGTTTTCTATTACTTAATAAATATAAGCATGCATTGTGCTTTTTATATTTTTATTAATTAAATAATTAAACACTATAAAAAAAGTTTTAAAAAATTATAGGGATATACTGTCTGTCCACTCTAAGTTGGCGGAACTAAGGAATTTTGTAGTTTAGATATTAAAGAATTGTCGTACTGTGTGCTTTTAAAACAGATTTTATATTATAAATAATACTAGTACATATTATATACTAGTATTATTTATAATATAAAATCTGTTTTAAAAGCACACAGTACGACAATTTTTTAATATCTAAACAACAAAATTCCTTAGTTCAGCCAACTTAGAGTGGACAGACAGTACATAGTATAACAAAGAAGTCTTCGAATTTTAATTAGCAAGCTTGCGAGCTAGTGTTTAATTAAATGAGTGTCTAAAAAAGTTTATAAACGAGTTGCATACTATACTTTTTTTACGACATATTCCCTAAAAATGATTTAAATTAAATATTTGTATAGAGCGACATCTATAAAACATTAGAGTAACCATTCTTGGAAATCTGTACTAGCGGTGCGCCGGTGAAAATCGAAATGTATCCCTTGAAAATGAACTAACAACAGGTTTTCTCAGTAAATGTGAAGAAAATGTTTTATGGGCACTCCACGGTGGAGTATTAAGCTAAATCCAGTTTCTGTATTGAGATAATAAAATAATTTTTACATTTAGTATTATTTTTCAAGAAGTGCACTTTATTTTAACGGTTATATATTTGAAAACTCTCAACTCATTTAAGCCCGTGACTAAAAACATGTTGCTAACTTCAGCCCGTGACTAAAGCGCCATAAAGCCACAACTTGTCATTGTGTATTTAAAAGGTTACTTAGTGTCATGAAAACGTCGTTTTAAAGGTGGAAGTAGAAAAAATGATTTACACCTAATTTCTATTAGTTCATTAAATTAAGATGATAAAAATTCCAAATGAAATCAATAAAAAACATTGCTGTTAATGTTCTTTAGGCTATCTGAAATTCGCGGTTTATTATTATTTTAAAAATTTATTAATAGTCAATAAAAACTATAAAATTTGTTTAAAACCAATTTAACTTTCATATATTTATTATTTATTATATTGAATGGGAGGAACCTTGACCGTAAATAACTCGATGATTTTTTTAGTAGTGTAAGCAAAATATATAAAAATTGCCGTTATTTTTATTTTATTTATCCTAACATAACCATGTAGAAAATGTTTTTTTCTACTCCTATTAAGGAATATAACCGTTCCAATATCACTTTTATGAGTGAATATATTGAGATGTCCCCCAAGTGAAAATGATTATTTTTTATTTTTGGTTGTTTCACTGTTGGTCTAGAATGGGGTTTTTGGGAAGCCACCAGGTCTAGTAATAACATAACATAAGTGGTTCTGCACTAATGCAAGAACTTTAAAAAATTATACATTTTGAATATTAGAGCTTCACGGAAGATAGCTTCACGGAGGTTAGGATTTCGAATGTTTTTTTAGCACCCCTTTGTATATTTGAAATAAGTTATTGTATCTTTATCTTAATATTTTTAAAAAATACAATTGTACATACATAAAATATTTAAAAAAAATCTACTCACTGAGATATTACACTTCACGGTGGATAGGTTTTAAAATAGCAAATTAATTAACTTAAACTTTTTAATTATAAAACAGCAACACTCTCATCTGCATATAAATTCTAACTGACCCTCAGGAATCACATGCATCTATAATGTCGTAAACAGAGGTTTTTGCTTTTTTAGAATGATTAAAGCGCCATCCTTTGCATAAAATTTAAAGCAAAAACAGATTCACGGAGGATAGAATCAATTTTTGTAACACCTATATAAATGGTTATAATTTTTTTTTTAATTTTTAATAATATTTTATATTTGATTCGATTGCTTTGGATGTGTTTAATTTATTAGTGAACTGATATTTTTAGTATGCTTTTACTACCTCAGATATTGGAAAACATATAGGTTAACCTAGAAAGAGTAACAGTCACGGAGGATATGACACTGGTGGCGACATCTCTGTTTATAATATCTAATAAATTTTATACCGATCCAACCTCACTTCCCCTAATTAAATTATTTTCCATGGTATTTTTTGGAAACGTAGAAAAACTAGTCTGAAACACGTTTGGAATTGAATATATTCCGCCGTATTCCAAATTTGTTACAGAATATACTATTCTTTATTGAAATAAATTATTGCATGTATTAAAAGAGCAAAATTAAATATTGGTTTAAAATTTTTTTTTACAACGTTATTAAACTTGATACGCCAATATATAAACTGGGTCAAACAATAGTAATTTTAAAGTAAATAATGACGACACAAATAATCAAATTAACAAAAAATACTTACAAATCAAAAAATGTTGATACCAAATATGTCACTGAATTCCAAACATTTTAACAATGCACAATATTTTTATAAACATATTTTTGTTTGTTAATTTTCGTAAATTATTTTTTCACGCGAAAATAATTGGCGTGAACAAAACTGGAGCACGTGCTATGTCTAGCGACAGATCGTGTACACTAAACTTTATAAATAATAATTCAATGTATATAGGTAGAAAGTCGATACTCGAACTGACTATACCCAGACCTAATACACTTAGTGTTATTAGTGGATGCATGGTATTTTTTTATAGTCTGGTAATTATTCAAACACAAATTTTATTTTATCTTTTAAATTTTAAAAAAGTATAAAGATTTTGCAAATATTTAATTTTTTTTAATTGCTTTATGTCGCATACCATGAAATAATCAAGCAAACTAATAAAAAATAATGATTCATTTTTATATTTCTTTTATGAGTTGTTTAATAATTGTACAAAACCGTGAAACATTGGTAAATGTAGAAATAAACCAGGCAAGCAAAAATTACCTGGCACCACGGTTACGTAACTATAGCAACCACAATATTTGTTTAGAGCGACAACTTTACAAAAATAGATGAACCTAAATTGGTGTTAGGAATCTGCTTTACCGGCTTTTAAAATGTCAGCGTTAGTTTGTAAAATTTTCCAAAAAATCGAAATTTCTACCCTAAAAATGAACTAACAACAGTTTTAATCCCATATACCTAGAAGCAGTTTTTCACAGTGTAAGAAAATAATGTTATAATTGAAATTTTTAGTGCAAAAAGAAATATTTTAAGGTGAATAAATATGTACTTAAATAAGTAAAGTAGTGTAAATCTGGTTTTTGTCTAGTATATGTACTGTCTGTCCACTCTAAGTTGGCGGAGCTAAGGAATTTTGTTGTTTAGATATTAAAGAATTGTCGTACTGTGTGCTTTTAAAACAGATTTTATATTATAAATAATACTAGTATATAATATGTACTAGTATTATTTATAATATAAAATCTGTTTTAAAAGCACACAGTACGACAATTCTTTAATATCTAAACTACAAAATTCCTTAGTTCCGCCAACTTAGAGTGGACAGACAGTAGGTACTTATTTAATAAATCTATTAAATTAAATTAAATTAAATTTAATCTAAAATTAATATATAAATAAGTAAATAAATACCTATAAATATATTTTGAGATTAAATGACTTGTTTTAAGTCTAAAACTTACGATTAAATTTATATGGTTAATTTTCTTGAAAATTTACCTACCACAATTTTTCAACAAACTAAAGTTTAAAAACTCTATTATAAATATTTATAAATTTCATTATAAATGCACAGGCACGCTCCACATTATCATGATAAAGCACAAAAACAAACTATTTAACAAAATTTCTGCAATTTAAATAATGCAACAAAAATACTCACCATTGTTAAAATAATCATGCTCATTACCAATAGACATGAACACTAACTGTCTAGTTCAAACAGCTTTTAAAAATACCTATCCACGAAACTGGCCAATTTTATTTTTTTATAAGCATGCCAACAAATTAAGAGTAATTTTTAATGTGATTTAAATTGGCATGTAAACCTAAATTATCACCCGAATTTTGCTTGTTAAAAAATTTAATTATGTTGCATAATAATCACATACTGTCAATTAATTTTAAATTGCGCTTTGGGTATCTTATTTCTATAATTAATACCTTTATATCACAGTTTTCACAGGCAGGTAATTATGACATTTCGTATTTGGTTACAAGGTAAATAAATTTATTTTCTGTAAAAATACTTCAAAAAATAACCAATAAGAATTGATTTTGGCTAAAAAAACTTTAAACCAATCAAATCCACCAAATTTTAACGTTTAATATTCATTTCAAGCAATAAGCATTTCTTATTGGTTATTTTTTGTCACAGCTATCTAATTAATATTTATTCATGGCCTAGCAAACGTTGTTTGGCGATTTATAAATTATTTTTATTCCTTTCTTCAATACACTTTTTTATTATATAACGAGTAAGTATAAGTTCTATTGAACCCCACATCCTAAGTTGTTCTCCTTGACTTAAGATTTTTCTTGTATAACTTATGTAATGCCATAATTGGTATAACAAGGTAGAAATATCAGTTAATACCAGACTGCATGGTACCATTTAGTTAAAATTTATGAACGGGCGGTTTTACCTGTTTTCTGGGTCAAATATTACAAAAGAATTTAAAAATAACATTTTACATAAAGTAACCAACAAGTTTCAACTTGTCACTACTGTCAAAAAATTTTGTTTTTACATAGCAAATTTGGTTGAATATAGTTAAATATTTTCGCAATTTGGCAACAATAAATGATTTATCATTGTGTCCAGTACTAAACGTGTTACAAATACCAATTTCCAAACAGTTAGCTAGGCGAAATTTAATATTAAGTACCTACCGATTAAACAGTCTCATAAATTATAAAAATAACTTTAATACTACACCCACAATTAAAAATATCCATCCGGCTTTTATCGTAACAAAACTGATAAAATACCATTAAGAACATTCCTTTCGGAAAAACAATAACAACAAACAATTCGCACTACACAATCATAATTATCGCAATTCTAATTCATAACTCACCTGAAGAAAATTTCGCACATGGAACTCTAGGCGATAACCTCACTTTTAAAGTTACAAACGAGCTTTAAAGCTTCGCACTTTCCTTTGTTTTCGATTGAGATGCACAAAGTGAACTGTTCGAGTTTTATATGCGTTTAAAACACCGCATTTTCACGTTTATATCGGCGAAAATACAAGTCTGCACAAAGTACTTGTTGAATTTTTGTATATTTATTTACTTGAATAACACAGATGGCCGAGGTAACGCGTCTTACGCCATCTATGAGGTAGAAGTGAAAGCGTGAAGTTTAAAAGAAGATGGCTGCAATTTTAGTTTGGTTTTATTTGAATCGTTGAGTGAAGAAATAAATGTTTAAATAATATTCATTTATTTTAAATAAAAAATATTAATTTATTTTAAATAAAAACTCTAATATTTTTTAATGTATATATACTTCTATGCATAAAATACGGTTCAATAAATAAACAAATAGTCATTCAATAAAAAATACAACATAAAATTGGAATTTAGATAAAATATACCTATGTAGGTAGGTACCCAACAAAACCAATATAATTTAAATTTAGTCATTTTCATGAAACATTAGGTTTGAATGTAGATAACTGTATGAAACATCCTCTATCTCCATATCACTTGTTGGTTCAGTTTTAATCGTTTTGACATCATTTTCCACGTTTTTGCTAAAATTGCACTCGCTTTCGTTTGAACTAATACAATTTCCGGAATGGATTTCGCTATCACTGTTGTTTTCATCTATTTCGTCATTGTAAATATAAAAATTATGCGATATAGGGTGGGGGTTATCGGAGTATATTTGAGACACCATGCAATCAGTACAAAAGTCTATAGAGTCCGTATTACATGATATGCAGTGCCAACGTGAACCTACAATAGGATCTTCATTGCAGAAATCACACGAAAAACCTATGTGGTAATACGGTGAATCATCGTTTTGTTTTTGTTTTTCGAGCTTGATACGTTTCAGAAGGTCCAACTTAAGCTCACCATCATTTTTATCGCTTTTTTGCGTTGTTGTTTCATGATGATACGTTGACGGGATTAAGTAGTTTGAAGACGATGATGAAGAGGAATGCTGGGATAAACTTGGCCCGGGTATACTTTCATGTTCATTCAAAGTGACAGGCACTATTAATTCCGGGAAAAAAGTCGTCTGTTTCCATAGGAAATGATTGTTTTTCTGATGGCGATGCGCCAAAGAGCGTTTGTGTCTTTCCCCGTACTTCGGTATTCTACCAGGCACAGGAATACCAGCTTTGTATAGTTTAAGGAAGTATTTTTGCAGTCGACTGCAAACTTGCTGAGCAGACCTTGTTCCGAGCGCTTTGGCTATTTTTTGATAACGTTTAGCTTCAACGGCTTCAGCGGGATAAACAACCAGCAACTCCTCCAAACGTTTTTGTTCTTCCGGCGTCCACGCCTTACCGTGCTTTGCCTGTGTCAGCGAACCCACCTTATCACCTTGTTCAACATTTTTATTCTCCGAATAAATGAAATTCAGCTCCTCCTGGGGTATCTGCACGTTAAACTTCTCAAAATCGATTCTCGGTATCTTGGGCAGCTCCAACATCTCCGGGATGCCTTTAACATCCTTGCGAGGCCTCTTTAAGTACTCCTTTTTCAGCTCGCAGACCTTATTGAAGTCCTTGATGGCCTTTTCCCGGTGTATCGACAGCAATAGCACGGTTTTCAGCAGCTCGCTGTATTCTTTGCTGCCTCGCAGGGCCAAATGATCCGATTCGAAGTAAAATAGGTCGTCCTCGTTGTGCAGACCGAACGAATTGCTCATTGTTGTGTTGTTGACACGTGAAACTGACAGAAAAATACCGAGAACTTAACCTCATTGACAGGTGTCAAAAAATTCGTGCTATTATGGTTGCATACGTCCGAGAATTTCTGTAATCTGGGCTGCATACGTTGTGAGATTTTTACCAGGAGTTGTCAATATTTTAAATAAAATTGATAAAGCGTTTATTCATCCCACAAAACAGAGCATTGACAGGTAGGTAAACTATAGTTTTGCACTTGTTTATAATTTCAACGGTTTTCTTTAGACAGTTATTTTATATAGATTTGGGACAATTTTTTTGTAATTTATGACAGTATACCTAATTTAGGTCATATAGGTATACTTTCGGGACATTTTTTTGTAGTTTTGTTAAGGGCATTTTTTTATTTTAGACAGTCTTATACAGTTGGGGTCATTTTAGATTGTTTTGGGACATTTGTTTGTAATTTTGACGCATTTAAAATAATTGCAAACGTTTGGGTTTTATTTTACAGTTGTAAGATCTTTTTAGATAGTTTTTTGTAATTTTAGACAGTTCTAATAAAATTTGGACCATTTTTAGAGTTCTCATATTGTTTAGATCCCTTTAGATACTTTTGGGACTTTTTTTGTTCATTTTTAGACAGTTTTAATACAGTTTGGGCCAGAGACTTTGTCTCTGGTTTGGGCCATGCTTAGACAGTTCTTATTATTAGAAAATTATTTAGAATGTTTTTTGTAATTTTGACGCATTTCATAGAATTGCAAGGTTAAGCTTAACCTAGCTCTTTCTAGATATTTTTTTCTAATTTTAGACAGTTAAAATCCACTTTAGACGGTTCTTATATAGTTTAGGTATTTTTGTAGTTTTATTTGTTATTTTTGTTTATTTTTAGACAATTCTAATACAGTTTGGGTACGTCATATTTAGACAGATATTCTAGAGATGGGGTCATTTTAGACAGTTTTGAGACATTTACTTGTAATTTTGACGCATTTAAAATATTTGCTAACGTTTGGGTTATTTTAGAGTGTTTTAAGGTCTTTTTAGATAGTTCTTTGTAATTTTAGACAGTTCTAATACAATTTGTACCATTCTTATATTTATTATTAATTGTATTAGAACTGTCTAAAATTGAGGTCCCTTTAGATAATTTTTTTGACATTTTTTGTAGTTTTTTTTTGTTTATTTTAGACAGTTCTAATATAGTTTGGGTCATTAGACAATTTTTAGTAAGTTGGGGTCATTTTAGCCTATTTTTTATAATATTAAAGCATTTAAAGCATTTGCAACAGGGTTATTTTATTTTAGACCGTTGTAAGGTTTTTCTAGATATTTCTTCTTATAATTTTAGACAGTTATTCTACAGTTTGGAGCATTTTTAGACAGTTCTCATATGGTTTAGGTCCGTTTAGATACTTTTGGGGCAGTTTTTGTAGTTTTTTTTTATATTTTAGACAGTTCTAATACAGTTTGGTTCATGTTTAGACAGTTTTTATTAAGTTGGGGTCATTTTAGCCTTTTTATAATTTTAAAGCATTTAAAACAATTGCAAGAGGGTTATTTTATTTTAGACAGTTGTAAGATCTTTCTAGATATTTCTTCTTATAATTTTAGACATTTACTATAGTTTGGAGCATTTTTAGACAGTTCTCATATAGTTTAGGTCCGTTTAGATACTTTTAGGACATTTTTTGTAGTTTTTTTGTTTATTTTAGACAGTTCTAATACAGCTTGAGTCATGTTTAGACAGTTTTTATTAAGTTGGGGTCATTTTAGCCTTTTTATAATTTTAAAGCATTTAAAACAATTGCAACAGGTTTATTTTATTTTAGGCAGTTGTAAGGTCTTTCTAGTTATTTCTTCTTATAATTTTAGACAGTTACTCTACAGTTTGGAGCATTTTTAGACAGTTTTCATATGGTTTAGGTCCGTTTAAATACTTTTGGGACATTTTTTGTAGTTTTTTTGTTTATTTTAGACAGTTCTAATACAGTTTGGGTTATGTTTAGACAGTTTTTATTAAGTTGGGGTCATTTTAGCCTTTTTATAATTTTAAAGCATTTAAAACAATTGCAACAGGGTTATTTTATTTTAGACAGTTGTAAGGTCTTTCTAGATATTTCTTCTTATAATTTTAGACAGTTACTCTACAGTTTGGAGCATTTTTAGACAGTTCTTATATAGTTTAGGTCCATTTAGTTACTTTTGGGACATTTTTTGTTGTTTTAAGGGCATTTTTTGTTCTATTTAGGCAGTTTGGGTCATTTTAGACAATTCTTCTAGAGTTGGGGTCATTTTAGAAAGTTTTGGAACATTTTTTGTAATTTTGCCGTATTTAAAACAATTGCAAACGTTTGGGATGGTTAAGAAAGTTGTAAGGTCTTTTTAGACAGTTTTTTTAATTTTAGACCGTAAAATTTGGACCATTTAACAGTTATCATATAGAGGTCCCTTTAGATACTTTTAGGAGATTTGTTCTAGTTTTAAGGTAATTTTTTGATCATTTTTAGACAGTTTTTATTGAGTTGTGGTCATTTTAGACAATTGTGGGACCTTTAGGCAAATTTAAAGCATTTAAAACAATTGCCAACGTTTGGGTTATTTTAGACAGAGGTCTCTTTAGATACTTTTGGGAGATTTGTTGTAGTTTTTAGGGCATTTTTTGTTCATTTTAGACAGTTCTAATACAGTTTGGGTCATTTTAATGGCTTTGGGACATTTCTAATACAGGGGGTCATTTTTAGACATTATAGAACAGGTTCAACAATATTTTTAAATACAGCATGTCTCCTGTCTTAATATTTACTTTATATTTTTGTATCCATTAAAACTTTCAAGTTAATTTTACAATTTTGATAATAAAATATTTTTTAAGTTATTCTTGAAAAACATTTTCTAGCAGGTGGTGATATCAGGCTATTTAGAGAAAATCTAAGCCTAATATTTTATTTTTAGTGATGAACTTCTGGCATTTTTTTTCTAAAGTGTTAATAAATTTTTCAAAAAAAAAATAATATTCCAAAAAATACACTCTAAAATAATGTTTTTTCTCCAGTTTAGTTGTTGTAGGTAATTGTTCAGAGTAAGAAATAAAATAGTGTTTACTAGGTATAATAACTTTATTTAAATTGAAATTAAAAAACGCACATAAATATTAAAAGTTAAGATACATGTACATATTTTTGTGTAACATTAATTAATACATAATAATAATAATGCATACAAATTAGTTGGGGATTTTATTTTTTATACAAAGCTTTAAAAATATGTTTAAATATATACAGTTATTACAGTAGGTTCATATATTAATTCTTATATAACACTAACAAGGCATTAAGTATAACATGATTTTTTTGTAACATTTAAAAACAGCCGAAAATATTGATTTTAAACTGTGCAACACTACAAAACGTAAATATTTTTGGTCAAATGTAACATGAAGCTATTTTCCTTTTACTAAGCCTTAAGGCTAACAGACAATCCTATATTTATTTATTATTTTTTTGTGAAAAATTATTACAAATAAAAAAACAAATTAGATTATTTTAGTGATAAAAAGTTAAGAGTATTGGGCATTTTCGGCGTAAATAATAATTTAGTATATTTTTACTTGAAAGAAGCACCGATTTTTACTAAAAGTTCGCGAAAAAGCCTCAATACAAAAAAAACAAAAACGCCAACTTCACTCTTAGCAACAGGGTTGATAAACCGTCACTAGGCACATTTGACATGCGCAGACGTCACCTCTGACCTGGCGCTTCGCGTTTGTTCGAAATGAGTATTGATTAGTTCAGACTTATCGATAAAAAAACACTAAACGTACGAATTGTTATTTTGCGTTTAAATGGGCGGTAGGGCCCACAAGGTGGCCGTTTTGTCGGCCGAAGTGGATAAAAATGAGAATTCCGACGGGTGCCAGCGACCGGAAATGGCCTTGTCGGCGTGCTGAGCCACCACCACACTGGGAAGTGGTAGAGTGAGATCCCCTGAAAATGCGAAATGTGTATTCTACAGTTTTGCATGTCGTTGGGACGATTGTGTTTTGGATTATGGGAGGTAGAGGGCGTTGTTAAGAGTTTTAACAATTTACCATGATACACAAAAACCGAAAACTCGTCGAATACACGCATGTGACGTCATGTGGGAACCAGATTCAAATGTTATAAACAGTTTTGCATAGACATATGCTATGCACGGGTTTTACGACGATTTCTTTTGAGTTTTTTCCGAAATTATTGTGTTTTTTACAGTATAAGGGTATTTTTCAAAAAGTTGCCGAAAATATTAAAGAAAATTATAATTATTATAAATTAGATATGTATATTACATATTATTTCTATAGAATATTAATCAAGTATTGAATATTTTATGCTTGTCATACATGATACGACCTAGATTGTATTTTTTTACGAATTTTCATTGTAGGAAGAAAAAATGTCGTCTTTTTCGTGACGCCAAAATAAAGGGCATTACAAATATTAATTTCATTTTTTTATTTACATCTTTTATTATCCTTTCTTTGATGATTATTTTCTACTGTTTTACATTTAAAATATCAGTCTCTTCTTCTTTTTTAAGATTAATTTAAAAATTTCCTTTAACGATTTCATCTTCATTCTATGTGTTTAAAATTTTCTTGAAATATAGTTTTGGGTGATAAAATCAAAATGTTCATGTTTGACGCAAGCACGTTTCGCGATTTTTAGCTTTAGGATAAACTACTCAGAATTGTTTACAACTAAAGAAATTGGTGAAAGAAACTGATACTCTATTAATTAATTATTTACACCTATAAACATGAAATAATTTACTCCCCTTGTTTAACTTTGACACGTACTACAAACTACAATAGATATTTTACCTTGTTGAGAAAGCGTTGTGAATATTAAATTGTGTGAAAATGGCGTCACGGATTGGACATTTTAAATTAAGGGATATCAACTAAAATGCTTGTCACAAAAATGTTATAGGTTCTTTTTTAAACAAAAATTAGTTAAAAACTGTTTACACTTCTACAAATTAAATAAATATATTAGAAACAATATTTTTTCAGCATTCAGTAAAGTTCATAAATCTATGCTGGGGACAGTCACAGATTGGACATTTACTATATTTCAAGGTAATTTTAATACATTTTCTATACCTTATTGGAAGATTTCGTACATAATTTAAATACCCTAAGAATTTCTTTATCAGATCTATTCTTCACATTTCATTTTAGTTACGAAAATATTAAGTTCTAACCTTAGGACAGCAAGTGGCCAACTTTTTGAAATATACCCATAAGCCTCGCACGATGGTTTTGCAATGTTTTTCGTAAAGTTTTTCCTGCATTTATTGAACAGCAATAACTATTTACAAGGTATTTATAAGCCACGCATGGGTGTTTTATACCAGGTTCTTTATTAAGTTTGTTATACGCTAAAGAAGTATCGGGTTTTTGCAACGCGCGCGCCATCTGGTGGACTTCAAAAGCATTGCGTGAATTTAAGAATTGTCAACAATAGATTTAAAGCATACGAACGAATAAATAGGTAGTTTTTTTCACAAAAGAGAGGAAGGCAGAAGTCTTACTCAACAAATTTTGTTCAATTGCACAGCTAAATCGCGCACGTTATTTGTGTTTTACGTTGCAAGGAAAAAACTAAAAAACTGGTTTAGTACGATTTCGATTGATTATATCATTGATTAAGAAACTCAACGCTTAAATGCTTCGTTATGTTACGTTAGTGTGTGTATTTTATCTAAGGGATCATGGTGAATTATTGTGTTTTTAATTGTAAATAAAATTCGAAAACTAAATCGTTGCATTTTCAAAGTTTTGTCAAAGGATCCAATTCGGAAAGTACATTTGTTGGTGCAGAATTAACTAATGATAACTTTACCTAATATAATTTATATTTAAGTTTGGACATTTTAAAGAAATTAGTAAAAAATAAATTTTGCACAAAAATAAACTTAAAATAAACCATTTTTTTGTTTGAGTTCTCTAAAAAACACCGACAACTGCATTTTAAACAATAAAATATACCTACGAATTCATGGCAACATAATATTATATTTAATACATAATATAATGGTATTTTATCGTTGAGTGGAGACTTTCTTAATCAACGCTTTTAATAATACTAAATGCAGTTTAAATTTAGACGACTTATTTATTTGACGATTTTTACTGAATTGAAATGTTTACACTTTTCACTACTAAAATGTGTATTTATTGTATCTAATAGGTACTATTTATATTTACAGAGACTGTATGCAATTTATTTCTTCATTCAGATTAACACTGTTTATTGGAAAACCGGTAAAAACTCAACCCAGGATTTCCTCTCGAAATACACCCAACAACACAACAAATCGAGCCACGTTTTTTTCGATATTTTTTAACATTATCCGACCTTATTCTCAAAAACACTCGATGGTAACATAAGCGTTTGACAGCTGATTATTAAAAGTTATACTTTTGTTACGATGATAACAGCCGAGTGGTAGCGCTACTAGCGATACTTCTTTAGCGTATAACGTGAATGGGGTAGTTAAATTTTTTCTGACCTATACTTTTTTTAGTTTTATTCAAGGCGTTTTGTAATTTTAAACATTTCTGTGAAATCGGAATTTCAATTAAGTTTACCGTTTTCGAGATATTTACAACAAAAAAATCTCCTAATTACGTCACTAGGCTATTGACAACGTTGCCAGCTTTTTCTATGGTTGCCAGTGTGTTTAATTTAAGATTCTTACGATAGATGGCGCCAAGTTATAATATTTTAGTTTTAAAACCACTTGATCTATAATTTTAGTCGAGAAGAAGAAGAAGAATAGATTTTTTGACGTTTCTTTTTTTCGGGTTATGTTTTTTTTTAAATTTAGATTATTGAAAATCAATGTTATTGTTATGTTATTTGTAATTGATATTAGATAAGTGATTTATTAATAACGGACTCCAAAGCAGAGGAATCTTGTGGACCTATAACTTATAGTACCTATAATTATAATCATATTTTGTCGTTAATGCATTTCATTAGTATAATGCCTAGTTCTTTAAATTCTTTTAGATATATCTTGGACTCTAAAATATCAAACAGTAATATGAAACCTCGTAATAAGGAGGATAGGTACTTAATGAATTTGGTGACCATCTTTCACTCAACTGATAGTGACAGTATTTGTACATAACCTCTTCGGGTATTTTCTGACATAACCGAATGAAATCATTAACAAGACAACTTGACAACAGGGTAATTTTCAACCAATAGAAATCTTAGAATGTTGGTCACATGGCGAGGTTTGTGACGTCATAAAAATTTATATTTTTTGTAAATATCTCGAAAACGGTAAACTCAATTGAAATTCTGATTTCACAGAAATGTTTAATATTACAAAACGCCTTGAATAAAACCATAAAAAGTATAGGTCAGAAAAAATTTAACTACCCCATTTGCAGTGCAAATAACATTTCAACCCAGTTACCCGCCAGCTTCTGGTTCGCACATGACGTCACACGGTGCGAGAGAGATAGCTATAGCATGCGCATCAGCAATGCTGATTCAGCATACCGGTTTTTGTGTATCGTGTTCGCTAAAAACTTGTTTCTTACCTTGCAAATCGGTGAGGACCAGCTTGTTGTCGTAGCCGGCGGAGAGCAGATAGTAGGCGGAGGGCGAGAAACGTATCGACCTGACGTCAGACGAGTGCGGTTTGAAGCACTGCACGTTCCTGCCGCCCCTGATGTCGTACAAGACGCACGAACTGTCCTCGTGCCCCGACACCAGCAACCTGCCGGACGGGTCCACGCACAAGCTGGCAACGGGGGAGCCCTGCTTGGTGCCCGGTACCGTTTGCGGGGTGACCATGTTCACGCATCCTGAAAAAAAATATTTTTGATGTGTGTTCTTTAAACCTCGATAATTTTCATTGAGAAACATTTCAATATTTATATCTAAATTTATTTAAAAATGTGTTTTAAGATTCTCAAATTTGTCCATGTCACTCGTTTGAATGTGTTAAAATTAAAATTCTAAGTTGTGTTTTTAAGTAATTATGACAGTCTTATAGTTTTGACATTCTAAAATTTGTTCTTCTGATTCTAAAATGTATTCTTAACAATGTTGTCTTTTTAAGTAATTTTGTAAATTATAAAAATAGTTTTTGACATTCTTTACCAGGTTAAAAACCTTCTGAAATGTGTTTTTAACTTTATAAGTTGAGTTTTTAAGTAGTTTTGGCAATCTGATAAATATTCATAATATGACTTTAACAGTCTAATTTTGCTAATCATATGGTTTTGACATTCTAAAACAGGATTTTAATTTGTGTTTTTTGGTAATTTTGTCAATCTTAGTCATGATTTAAAATTCTAAAATGTGTTTGGACATTTTAAGTTATTATTAACATTCTTAACATTTTATATTGTCTTTTTAAGTAATTTTTTCAATCATGTGGTTTTGACATTCTAAAATTTGTTTTTGACATTCTTTATCAGGTTAAAAACATTCAGAAATGTGTTTTTAACATTATAAGTTATGTTTTTAAGTAGTTTTGGCAATCGTATAAATATTCATAATATGATTTTAACAGTCTAATTTTGCTAATCATATGGTTTTGACATTCTTAAACAGGATTTTAATTTGTGTTTTTTGGTAATTTTGTCAATCTTAGTTATGATTTAAAATTCTAAAATGTGTGGACATTTTCTGTTATTATTAAACATTCTAAAATGCATTCTTAACATTTTATGTTGTGTTTTTAAGTAATTTTTCCAAACATGTGGTTTTGACATTCTAAAATTTGTTTTTGACATTCTTTACTAGGTTAAAACTGATTAAAATCCATCGTAATTGTCTTTTTTGTCAATCTTAGTTATGATTTAATATTCTAAAATGTGTTTGGACATTGTCAGTTATTATTAAACATTCCAAAATGCATTCTTAACATTTTATGTTGTGTTTTTAAGTTATTTTTTTAATCATGTGGATTTGACATTCTAAAATTTGTTTTTGACATTCTTTGCCAGGTTAAAAACCTTCTGAAATTTATTTTTAGCATTATGTTGTGTTTTTAAGTAGTTTTGGCAATCGTATAAATATTCATATGATTTTAACAGTCTAATTTTGCTAATCATATGGTTTTGACATTCTAAAACAGGATTTTAATTTGTGTTTTTTGGTAATTTTTTCAATCCGTTTATCATTTAACATTCTAAAATGTGTTTGGACATTTTCAGTCATTATTAAACATTCTTAACATTTTATGTTGTGTTTTTAAGTATTTTTTCCAATCATGTGGTTTTGAAATTCTAAAATTTGTTTTTGACATTCTTTACCTGGTTAAAAACCTTCTGATATGTGTTTTTAACATTATAAGTTGTGTTTTTAAGTAGTTTTGACAATCGTATAAATATTCATAATATGATTTTAACAGTCTAATTTTGCTAATTATATGATTTTGACATTCTAAAACAGGATTTTAATTTGTGTTTTTTGGTAATTTTATCAATCTTAGTTATGATTTAACATTCTAAAATGTGTTTGGACATTTTCAACATTTTCAGTTATTATTAAAGATTCTAAAATGCATTCTTAAAATTTTATGTTGTGTTTTTAAGTAATTTTTTTGATCATGTGGTTTTGAGATTCGAAAATTTGTTTTTGACATTTTTTAGTTGTGTTTTAAAGTAATTTTGTCAATATTATTATTTTGACATTTTAAAATTTGTTTTTTACATTCTCAGACAGGTGTTAAACTTTCGTAAATATTAGTTTAACATTTTAAGTTGGGTTTAACAAATTAATTTTTGACACACTCAAACCGGATAAAAATCTTCGTAAATGTGTTTTTAACATTCTAAAATGTTTTTTATTTTTAGTTATGATTTTACATTATAAAAGGCATTCTTAACATTTTATGTTGTGTTTTTAAGTAATTTTGTCAATTTCATTATTTTTACATTCTAACATTTATTTTTGACACTATCAAACATGTTAAAAACCTTCGTAAATGGGTTTTTAACATTTTAAGTTGATTTTCAGGAATTTTGACAATCGTATTATTATATATAATATGATTTCAACATTTAAATTTGTGTTGACATTCTAATTTATGATTTAACATTCTAAAATGCATTCTTAACATGTTAAGTTGTGTTTTTTAGTAATTTAGGCAATCGCGTTAATATTCATAATATAATTTTTATAAAATGTGTTTTAACATTTTTGGTTGTGGTTTTAAAATATTTATTTTTTGGTTTGAGTACAAAAATTAAAAAAAAAATCTGACGAATACTTTTTTAAACTCCCAAAGACAATGTTGTTTAATATATAATTATTTATATTGAAATAATAAGAAATCATTTTTGTTAGTGCCAGTTAAAATTTATTATTAAAAATAATAATAATATATTTATTTAGCTTCTGCTATTTAAAACAAGTATACATTTACATTATTTTAACTTTTTAAATACATATATCACAATTTTTCTATCACAAAATATTTTAACAAGTTTTTAAAATAAATGAAGTTATCACAGTATTTAATTTCATGTGGTAAATTATTATACAATTGAAATCCTTTAAAAAATATACTTTTGCTATATTTACTGGACGTTGGTTTATCTATATAAATATCTTTGTCTTGCCTTGTTGGATAGTTATGAATATCACAGTTTAATTTTTTATTTTTTTAGTTAAATATAGGGGAGTCATATGGTTTAATATTTTAAAAACAAAGATTAAGGTTCAAAAAGTTATTATTTGACTAACAGACATAAAATTAAGTACATTTAACATTTAATTTACAGGTGTGTATTTGTTACATTGCAGTATTACTCTCATAACCTTATTTTGTAGAATTTGTAGTCTTTCTTGTTCATTTTTGTTAAGTCCAAAGAGAATTGTAGAGCAATATTCAAAGTGGGGGGCTATTAGTGCTTTGTATAATGTTATTTTAATATTTATAATTAATTCTCTTCCAATTCTTCTTAAAAAATATATTTTTTTATTAATCTTGTTTTGTACATACTTAAAATGGCTTAAAAAATTTAACTGTTTGTCAATTACAACTCCCAAGTATTTAATTTCTTCAACTATATCTAATTTTATTCCATTTATTATAATATTAAGGTCTACATTATTATTAAACTTACTAACTACCATATATTTAGATTTTTGAATATTCTCTGAAGATCACAGTTCATTTCTTTTCTCATTTCCTCTAGGTTATTACCAATTATATACAACATGGTATCGTCCGCAAACATAACTATTTTACACTTTAATATTACTTTTGCAATATCATTAATATATAAAATAAATAATATGGCAGCTAATTTAGTTCCTTGAGGAACCCCATGTTCATTTTTAATTTCTTCAGAGAATTTATTTTTAAATTTAACTTTCTGCTTTCTATTTTTAAAAAATGCAATGGAATATTTTTATATTTTAATTTTTTATTAACATACCCTCCTGAAAAAAAAACCGGTTTCCCACCCACAGTGTGCCTGAACGAAGTTTAAGTCACATAAAAATGACGCCAAAAACTGATTGCAGTTTCTTGTTCGGGACCCTTTGGTGAATTATAAATGATATTTACCAAAATCCTAGCTGATCCTCTTTTCGAAATTTTTTGAAAATTTATGATTTTTTTTTAAATTTTTGTTTATTTAAAAGTCTACCTTTGACAGAGTACACATTTGTACACCGATTTTTATAAAATTAGAGTATATTATTAAGGAGACTTAAAGAATACTTTTTAATACTGTTCACATAATTTGATATATACAGGGTGAGCCAAAAATCGCTTATTTTTAATAAAGCAAAAGCGTAAATTCATGATTTTGGCATAACACGCAAAACAGATGTATCCCCATTTTTTTTTAGATATTTCTACGTTTATCAGGTTACAAAATGGCATTCTATTAACCTTTTACAAGAAAAATAGATTTTTAATAAAATTAAATAAAATAACGTTTAAAGAATATTTAAAATGTTTAATTTAGGCTTTTTAGTAGTTTTCAATTTTGAACGAAAAACTGGTTGAAGTTTTTTGATCGGCACTCTTTGGTTATTTAAAAACTATATTTACCAAAATTCTTGCTCCTTTTTTTAAATTTGCAGAGTACACATTTGTACACCGATTTTTATTGGAGTATATTGTTAACGAGACTTATACTGAGCACATCATTAGGTTAATACAGGGTTAGCCAAAAAAAATTAAAAAAAAATCATGAATTTTCAAAAAATTTCGAAAAGAGTAGCAGCTAGGATTTTGGTAAATATCAAGTCACCAAAGGGTCCCGAACAAGAAACTGCAGTCAGTTTTTAGCGGCACACCGCATGCCGACGAGCTAGAAGCGAAGCGCGCTGCGTACTGATCGAGCGCACAGCGGGACAAAAAAATTAATATCTCCGGAATGACATATGAAGGACAAATTTTTGAGTACATTTTATTAAACGGGAACGTTTGCGGCATATTATGACACAATTTTAATTTTTTTTCAGCGTGAAGAACACATACAAAATTTCAATTGTTTATAATAAATGTATGCAAAATTGTTTTATTTAAACAAATTTACTATAATTAAATGTTCATTTTATAGTCTAAACATTGCTACAAGAGTGGTCCCAGAGATTTTTCAATTTTACCGTGCTCTACATTACCAAAAAAAGGAGTTTTAAAATATTTTTTTTACTGTGACATATAAGTCATGCCTACTACACAATAATGTGATTATTTTCAAAATCGGTGATTTCGTGAAATTTTCTGGTCCCACTTGACGTGGCTCGACTCACATTCTAAAATTTATTTTTGACACTATCAAACACTATCAAACAGGTTAAAAACCTTCGTAACATTTTAATTTTGGCAATCGAATTTTTATTTATAATGTGATTTTAACATTCAAAAATGTGTTTTAACATTTATGGTTGTGGTTTTGACATTCTAAAATTTGCTTTCAAAATTTTTTCACAGGGTGACTGGAAAATGCCATAATTTTTTTATGTTGAAATAATAAAAAGAAATCAATTTTTTTAGTTTCAATCAAAATTTTCAATTATTACATTATTTTACTTTATTATTAACACACACTCCTGAAAAAAACGCTTTTTCCACCTCTACTCTTAAATAAAGAAGTTTTATTTTACTGCAAAAAAGTCTCACCTCTCGTCCTCAGGTCCCAAAACCGGACGGTCTTGTCGTGCGAGCCGCTGACGAACATCGCCCCTCCCCACGTGTACAGCGACAAGACGTGCCCCGTGTGGCCGCTGAGCGCCTGGAACGGCGTTCCCGTGGCGCAGTCGGTCACGTAGATCTTGCAGTCGCCCGCGCCGCCGCTGATCAGCAGGCTCGACTTGTTCGACGCGTCTTCGAGGAAGCACAGGTCCCTGACGGTGCCGTCGTGCATCGTGAGGTCCACCTCCTCGCCCTCCAGATTCGAAGTGTCCGCGTTGAAGCGCATCATCTTGACGGTCTTGTCGTTGGAGCCGGTGGCCATCAGGTCGCCCATCGGCGACCACGCCAGGCAGTAGATGGAGCCCTTGTGGTGCTTGGTGCGCTTGAAGAGCACCGTCGGCTGGTACGTTTGGTGGTCCTCCCTGCGCGAAACAAGAACGAATAAATTAAACCAAAGTACACCAGAAAAATCGCAAAGTGAGTTTAGAAAGGGAAGAAGTATACAAGTAGACCAGGGTCAATAATTTTTGAAACCAAAAAAAATAACAGTAGGATGAAACCCATTGGAAAAGGAGAAGAATATAATAAAAATGAAAGGAAAAATAAATTACGGGCGATCTGAGTTCGGGAAGTGGGAGGGGGGGGGTTAAGGGTAAAAAATGGTTTATCTCGATTTCCGGCAAAACTACAAGTCCTATGGAAAAAACTCAAATGTCAAAGTTGTAGGTAATAAAAAGATCTACAACTTTTGTATTTACAATTTTTTACATAACCTCAAAATTTATGTGAAAAATTCAAAAAACCAAGTTTTTGGTTTTTTATTTTTATCTTTTTCAAAAAAAAATTTTTTTCACGAAATATTGTGAAAACTTACCTTTTTATGTCCCAAATACACTGTAATTTATTTGATTTTAAATATTTATTATTTAGCCTTATTTTGACTTAATATCAAAAAAGCACCCTAATTTTCAATCGAAAATTATCGCGTCAAAATATCAGCTTTTTTCAAAAAGTCGGTGTGCTTTTTGTTCGATGAACTCTCTACTTTCTGATGGTGTAAAAAAATATACATTACTATGGTAAATGTTCTCAGAAAATACAAAAAATATTATAATGAATAACGTAATCAGAATGAAGTATCTAAATTCAATAGTATGATTGAGAGTATTTATGAGATTTTCTGACATAAATGTTATTAAAATTTAATAAATAAACTTTTTAACTAAAAAAAATTGCAACAATCACATTTTTTTGATGAAATTGTACATAATGATTAAAATAAATTTTCGAATTCGAGTTTTTTTCATTATTCATTATAATATTTTTTGCATTTTCTGAAAACATTTACCATAGTAATGTATATTTTTTTTACACCATCAGAAAGTAGAGATTTCAACGAACAAAAAGCACACCGACTTTTTGAAAAAAGCTGATATTTTGACGCGAGAATTTTCGATTGAAAATTAGGGTGCTTTTTTGATATTAAGTCAAAATAAGGCGAAATAATAAATATTTCAAATCAAATAAATTACAGTGTATTTGGGACATAAAAAGGTAAGTTTTCACCAAATTTCGTGAAAAAAAATTTTTTTTTGAAAAAGATAAAAAAAGGACTTGTAGTTTTGCCGGAAATCGAGATAAACCATTTTTTACCCTTAAAACCCCCCCTCCCACTTCCCGAAGTCAGATCGCCCGAAATTTATTTTTCCTTTCCTTTTTATTATATTCTTCTCCTTTTCCAATGGGTTTCATCCTACTGTTATTTTTTTTGGTTTCAAAAATTATCGACCCTGGTCTACTTTGATTCAAAAGAGCTATGTTTTTTAATCTAAATCAAAAAATTTGAAAACCTGGAAACCTTACCCCACCTTGGCACAAAATCAGATGTGTTATTTAGCAAAACAACAACTATATATGAACTTTAATTGCGACGTAAGTTATAACCTTACAATATTCGTACATTGTAATGCTAAGAAGCTAGCTAAGAATAAACACGGAAGAGTTTCAATACTTAATAAAAAGTTCAAATGTCGCACCCGTTACTGGGCGCATTTGCCGATTTTCTAATGTCGTTATAAAAGATTTTCTCTATACAAGTTTTTATTGAAATTTTGTTTGAGTTAAATATCCATTTTTTATACTACTTTTGTATCTTGATATACAAGCTGTCCCTAAAAACCTAAATAAATATTTTTGCTAATTACTTATGTTTCCAAGATACAGGGTTATAACATGTTACTTATCATATCAGTTTTTTTAAGCCTAACTGAGTAAACGAAAAATTGCATCAAATGTTATAAAAACCTAACCTCAAAGTTTTTGTAGGACAATAAGCTTAGAGCAACCCCTGTTTCTACGACACTGTGTTCACTCAAACAATTGTTATGTGTAAATATGTGTATTGGTAGTAAGATGATGTTCTTAAAATATCACCTGTCCAAGTCTACCATAGTAGAAGTTATATTAAAAAAAAATTATATTATAAGTTACACGTATCAACCTGTATCTGTATATTATGTATCAAGTTTGATAAACGCCATTTTATACACGAATTTAATTTAGGCACGAGCGAACTTGCAAGCGAGTTCTTAAATTAATGAGTGTATAGAAAAGTTTATAAACGAGGTGCATACTATACTTTTACTACGACAAATACTTATTATTATCTTAAAATGATTTAAATCAAAAATTTGTATAGAGCGCCATCTATGAAACAACAGGGGAAACTGTCAAATGTCACATTTTTACATTTTATAAACACAATTATAAACGTTGTAAATCGAAATGTATATTGAAAATTGACAGTTTTTCACAGTGAAAGTAAAGGAAATGTTTTATGAGGACTTTACAGTAGAGTCCGTGCCCGAATTCAAGTTATAGTTTACTGCCGGCGAAATTAAAAGGTCAGTAAAATGTTCATATAAACTTTTCAAATATTGGCGTTGAGAAACTATTTAATATTTTTGTATTTTTGTATTGAGATAATAAAATAATTTTCACATTTAGTAATATTTTACAAGAAAGGCACTTTATTTTAACGATTGTATGACATTTGACAACTGTCAACTAACTTAAAACTAACTTCAGCCCGTGACTAAAAATCTGTTGCTAACTTCAGCCCGTGACTAAAGCGCCGTAAAGCCACAACTTGTCAATGTGTATTTAAAAGGTCACTTAGTGTCATGGAAACATGTACGATAAAGGGCGTTTTAAAGGTGGGAGTAGAAAAAATATTTAACCGCTTTACTATCACAAAATAAATAATTCAAAAATGGCGGAGGTGCCGGGATACTGACAAGTTGTGTTTCTGATAAAACTGTTAATTACCTGATTTTATAGTAACTTATTATATTGTTGAATACTATTATATTAAATTTATTTATTAGTCGCAATGTGAATAGGTATATTAAAAAAATTCTAGGTTGTAGGTTGTAGTAAAGACATTTACAAAGTTTTAAAAACATGAACCGTCTGGTTTGCTGGTAAAAAATTATTAAAGTTGCTAAAACTACACGGAATGTTATTGTTTATTATTGCTTAGCTGTGTTATGAAATTTTTTTAATGTAAAATTTTCATATTTCAAATAGATTATGAAATTCTAAAGTCAGCAATATGCCCATGTATACCTTTTGGGATGATAGTTTTGGGTATATATTTTTGGGACATTTTAAGTTTTTTTTAAATATTTTATTAATTTTTATGATTCATTTCATTGATATAAAGTTTAAATATAATAATATATTTTTTCTACTCCCACCTTTAAAACGCCCTTTATCGTTCATGTTTCCATGACACTAAGTGACCTTTTAAATACACATTGAAGTTGTGGCTTTATGGTGCTTTTGTCACGGGATGAAGTTAGTTTTAAGTTAGTTGACAGTTGTCAAATGTCATACAATCGTTAAAATAAAGTGCCTTTCTTGTAAAATATTACTAAATGTGAAAATTATTTTATTATCTCAATACAAAAATACAAAGTATTAAATAGTTTCTCAACGCCAATATTTAAAAAGTTTATATGAACATTGTACTGACCTTTTAATTTCGCCGGCAGTAAACTATAACTTAAATTCGGGCACGGACTCCACTGTAAAGTGCTCATAAAACATTTTCTTTACTTTCACTGTGAAAAACTGTAAATTTTCAAGAAATACATTTCGATTTATAACCTTTATAGATAATAAAAATTTGACGTTTGACGGTGAAACACAGATTCCCCTTTTGTTTCATATATGGTGCTCTATACAAAATTTTTGATTTAAATCATTTTAAGATAATAATAAGTATTTGTCGAAGAAAAAGTATAGTATGCACCTCGTTTATAAACTTTTCTATACACACATTAAGTTAAGCACTCGCTCGCAAACTTGATACATAATATACTATTAAGTTTTAAATACTTTTTTTTGTTTGTAAAATAAAATAAAATCAACGAATTTTATAATTATTCGATAAATGATATAAAAAAAGATTTTCTTACCTGAGGTCGGCAAGCTTTGGATACGAGCATATGCGAAGGGTCTTTGAGTTAGACCCGACTGCGTACAGTTGCCCGCCCGGGTGGAATTCCGCACACCTAACCGCCTGCACGTCTTCCAGAGTGGTAACCGCCACGAATTTCGGCCTTCCCCCATTACTGCTGTCGCTATTGTCCAAGTCCGGGCCTGAGGAACCCCTTGGAACGGGCTGCAACAAAAAATATTTTAGTCGTTTGTGAAATTGATTAAAATACACTCACAGGCAAAATAATCGATCCACACAAATTTTCGATGAATTTTAATCGCAAATAACTTTTTTATTTAATTTCGGATTTAAACAAATATTAAATAATATTGTAGATAAATTAATGGACAATCGCTCACATTTTAAAAAATTACTAAAAAATAGACTTACGTTTATAATATACAGGTTAAAAAAAAGGTGATTTTTACCATAAGTTTAAGACACTCTCTAGAGTGGCAAAACCGTATATTGTTCTAAATTAAGTTTTATTTATCAAGTCACATCTATTCTTAACAGTTTTGTTTTTGGTTCACCTCGATATATATATTTTTGTGGAAAATATGGATTTTTTCAAAAAACCTTGCAATTTCCAATATTTTTCTGTATGAAGAACTAAGGTTGCTATGGTCCATCCATAAGCTATGGAGAATGACAGTGACAGTTTTGTTGAATCATCCCATACTTGGACATGTCATACACGGCTTTCAAAAGCTATCAAATTGTTTTTTGCAAATTATTGTTTAAATTTTGAGGTTTCTTCTCACTTTAAAAAATAGATAATATCTTATGTCCCCGACTGATGTTGCCAGAGTCATTAATTTAATCCAGGATGGACGGTCACAGTATTACGTGGCAAGTGTTTTAAACGTCACAAGAAGTAAAGAACAAAGGGCAACATCAGTTGGAGACATTTTTAAAAGTAAGAAGACACCTCAAAATTAACACATTAATTTACAAAAAACAATTTAATAGCTTTTAAAAGCTGTATATGACATGCCCAAGTATGGGATGATTCAACAAAACTGTCACTGTCATCCTCCGTAGGCTATGGATGGACCATAGCAACCTTAATTCTTCATACAGGAAAAATATTGGAAATTGCAATGTTTTTTTAAAAAATCCATATTTTCCACAAAAATAAATATATCAAGGTGAACCAAAAACAAAACTGTTAAAAATAGATGTGACTTGATAATTAAAACTTAATTTAGAACAATATACGGTTTTGCCACTCTACAGAGTGTCTTAAACTTATGGTAAAAAACATCTTTTTGTTTAAACCTGTATATTATAAACGTACGTGTATTTTTTAAAATGTGAGCGATTCTCCATTAATTTATCTACAATATTCTTTAATATTTGTTTAAATCCGAAATTAAATAAAAAAGTTATTTGCGATTGAAATTCATCGAAAATTTGTGTGGATCGATTATTTTGCCTGTAAGTGTATTTGCTTTTTCTTTTCATAACTTTCTTTTCATTCAAATCATAAAATAAATTAATTTGTTGGCTAAAAAAATTCCACGTTTTAATTATATTGTTAATTAAGAAACAATCATAAAGTATACAAATTTCACATTGTTAATGTGTCGTTTGTAATCGTGTAAAGCGGATTTACACTTGGATGAAATCAATAAATCAATCTGCAATAATTATAAATAATGATATCGATTTAGCGTTTAACGAACCGTTATTAATTTGCAGGTATTTGATTTGTTGTGATTTAATTGTTTATATAAAGGTCCGGCGCTTAAGTACAGGGTGAACAACTATTGAAAGCCTTTAAGAGTAAAAATTGTTTGCAAGGTTGTTAAATTAATGCGCATTTCATAAATAATTAAGGTTACTATATTAACATTTATTTAATAAATAAATGTATATAAATTATACCACAATTCTTAACATTTAAACCGTCATAATTCATGAATATTAAAAGTAATATAACATTCAAGAAACTCACTTATTTATATTTATATTTATATTTTACGCACCAATTAATAAAACGGCATGCAGATTATTATCTCAATATTCATTAACATTTAAACGAATGTAGTTGAATATTAAAATGATATTAAATTGGTTCTTTAATTGATTAAACCGATAATGAAAATATATTTTGTAGAACATCGGTAAGAAATCTAGATTGAATAAATATAATTTATAAAATACAATCAAAAAAACTACTTTCAATGATGTCCTATAGTTCATTCCATTAAAAAATGGAGTAGACACCGGTTTAAATATAATGGCAAATGTACTTTACCATGAAAAAATATTTTTTTCTACTCCCACCTTTAAAACGCCGTTTATCGTACATGTTTCCATGACACTAAGTGACCTTTTAAATACACATCGACAAGTTTTGGCTTTATGACGCTTAAGTCACGGGCTGAAGTTAGCAACAAGTTTTTAGTCACGGGCTGAAGTTAGTTTTAATTTAGTTGACAGTTGTCAAATGTCATACAATAGTTAAAATAAAGTGCCTTTCTTGTAAATTAATACTAAAAGTGAAAATTATTTTATTATCTCAATACAAAAATACAAAAATATTAAATAGTTTCTCAACGCCAATATTTAAAAAGTTTATATGAACATTGTACTGACCTTTTAATGTCGCCGGCAGTAAACCATAACTTAAATTCGGGCACGGACTCTACTGTAAAGTCCTCATAAAACATTTCCTTTACTTTCACTGTGAAAAACTGTCAATTTTCAAGATAAATTTTGATTTATAACCTTTATAATTGTGTTTATAAAATGTAAAAATGTGACATTTGACAGTTTCCCCTGTTGTTTCATAGATTGCGCTCTATACAAATTTTTGATTTAAATCATTTTAAGATAATAATTTGTCATAGAAAAAGTATAGTATGCACCTCGTTTATAAACTTTTCTATACACTCATTAATTTAAGAACTCGCTCGCAAGCTCGCTCGTGCCTAAATTAAATTCGTGTATAAAATGGCGTTTATCAAACTTGATTCATAATATACTATAATATACTAATTAAGACCTTTAGACAAAATTCACATTAAATTAAGAAACATAATTATTATTATATTAATGGGGTAGTTAAATTTTTTCTGACCTATACTTTTAATGGTTTTATTCAAGGCGTTTTGTAAATTTAAACATTTCTGTGAAATCGGAATTTCAATTGAGTTTACCGTTTTCGAGATATTTACAAAACAAACTCTCCTAATTACGTCACTAGGCTATTGACAACGTTGCCAGCTTTTTCTATAGTTGCCAGTGTGTTTAGTTTAAGATTCTTGCGATAGATGGCGCCACGTTATAATATTTAAGTTGAGAAGAAGAAGAAGAATTGATTTTTTGACGTTTCTTTTTTTCGGGTTGTTTTTTTTAAATTTAGATTATTGAATTGTTATTGCTATGTTATTTGTAATTGATATTAGATAAGTGATTTATTAATAACGGACTCCAAAGCAGAGAAATCTTGTGGAATGGTTGGTTACATTGAACATTGGAACTTTTAAACAAATAAAGTAAGTACCTACCTATAATTATAATCATATTTTGTCGTAAATGCATTTCATTAGTATAATGCCTAGTTCTTTATATTCTTTTAGATATATTATTATTTTTTGTAAATTTATTTCATTCATTTTCAGCTTTATTTTGCCACTTTTTTCTATGAAATATATTAAACTCTGCTTTAGACAGTTATTAGGTACCTATTTATTACATTTTATTAGGTTTCACACGGTGTTTCAATGTGTAAACCTATCAATAAAACTTTTAATTTTAGAATTTTCTTTAACCTACTCTTCTTCTTCTTTCACTCAACTGACAGTGACAGTATTTGTACATAACCTCTTCGGGTATTTTCTGACATAACCGAATGAAATCATTAACAAGACAACTTGACAACAGGGTAATTTTCAACCAATAGAAATCTTAGAATGTTGGTCACATGGCGGGGTTTGTGACGTCATAAAAATTTAGATTTTTTGTAAATATCTCGAAAACGGTAAACTCAATTGAAATTCTGATTTCACAGAAATGTTTAATATTACAAAACGCCTTGAATAAAACCATAAAAAATATAGGTCAGAAAAAATTTAACTACCCCATTATTCGACTGCATTCCTTATTTAAATGTCAGTGGAACATAGTACATATTTTAATGTTTTAACACATTTTTATGATTTTATAATATAAAAATTCAGTTATTAACAAGTTTTCTTAAAAATGTAGGAAAAATTAAATATTAAATAAACGGAAAAATCTATTTTTAATTTGAGTGAAAGCACGAACCAAAGCTCTAAATAAAGGTTGTTAATTTTTTTGCTAATAACAAACATCGTTTAAAGCGAACCATCGTACATGGTTCATTACAGTTCGTTATAAGCGGATAATACTGTAATATTACACTAGTTTACACCATGTCTCACTATGATTTTCTTGTGTAGACAGAAATGGAAAAGATAAGTCCAGTTTGATTTATTTTACGTATAGATTATACTTGAAGGAAAAAAAATAAGCTGCCGTTGATAAAAATCCATGGATAAATGGCGAAGTTATGAATTTTTCAGTGGAAAACCAAAATTTAGTTTTTCGAGAATTTTTACGCTATTTATTCATTTTATTGAATTACATAAACTTTAATATTGAACATTTATTTTTATTTTAAACATTAAATATTGAAATTTAATTATATATTGAATATTGATCAATAAATATTGAACATTGAAGATTTATTTTGTTGTAATAAGCATAGGTTTAAAAAAAATGGCTCCTTCTTTGTTTTTTGTATTCCGTTTCTCGTATGAGGGACCAAATGTAATCACCCATCATGGCATCATCCCAAAAGCCATGATACCGCCTCTCAATAACCTTCATTTGCTGGTAAAAACGTTCTCCGTGCTCATCACTTACGTCGACCAGATTGTCCGGGTTATTTACGCACTCAAACTCTCTACTTCTTTTACTTATTTTACACTTTTTATTAACTAAATAAAACCATGATAAAAATACCTTGTTGAAATATCAAAAAATATCAGTAAAATGTCACTATGCCAACACGAGAAACAAAAGAATTCACGTTTGCGGAGTCATGTCAAATTTAAATTTTGAATAATGTTTTCGGTGAAAAAGTACGTAAAAACCTCAAAAAATTCCAATAAAGCACTTTAGTTAGGTTTTCATTAAAAAATAAACATATTACAAAATAAAAGAAAAAAATTCATAACTTCGCCATTTTTTCATGTATTTTTATCAACATCAGCTGTTTTTTTTGTAAAATTGCCAGCTTCAAGAAAAAAATTCAGACTGGAGTTATCTGTTTGATTCAGGCCATAAAAACGAATTTTTTAAGTTATTAAAATCGCTAGCGTCAAAATACTTATCCGATATCCAAAGTATGTAAAAGAAAGTTTTAGAGGGCTCAAATACCTTAAATTTAAGGGCTTTTTTGACCAAATCGATCAATTAGATTTTAAGCTATACTTAAAAACGTCAAAACACCTAATTGAAAAAAAACAATTGAAAATTCATATTTCAAAAACGCTTCCATAAAAAAAAATTGAGTGTGATTTTCGTGTTTAGTGGGTCAAAATACATGGAAAAATTATGTAAACTAGTGTTAGTCAAATATGACTTTTATTAGTTATTTTTGACTAATTCATTTTAAGAGAGTACTTCCCACATTATTCATATTTTTAGATATCTACGTTCATATTGTTTGTTTGAATATTTTTCAGTTAGTTTTATAATTACTTCTTTTCAGACAAGGAATACTTGCTAAATATATGATTTTGGGAATCATAACAAAACACAACTGAAGTACCTACCAAGGCTGTCCCTAATTTAGTGGATATTTTAGTAACCATTTCCAAAAAAGATCTATCAGAGTACCTACTATTATTTTTATAATTATTTATAGATATTTCATCATCACTTTTACTTATAATTTACATATTCAAAACAACATAAAAGTAGCCACACTTCGTGGCATTTCACCTAATAAATAACAGGAAAAGAAGATATATTTTGATGATCGTGACGTAATCATTACAACTGTTAAATTGTTTTTAAAAAGGTTACATGGACTGTTTAAATCAAAGTATGACCCGTCACTTTCCATTCTGGTTATATTATTAATAGCAGAAAAAATCGTTTAGTTACAATGGGTGCTTTATTGGCAAACTTCATTTCCTATGTCAGAGGACATTAGACACTTAAATGTCTATTGTTAAGTTAAGTACAGTTTACGTAATTTTATCAGATCTTATCTTAGAATGTGACAAAATGGACTTGTGACATACTTTGTTTATTAAAATATTTTTTGTATAATTAATTTGTTTCGTCACATTCGCAGAGTATCGATAATGTTGTCAAATTAAACAAGTTGTTTATTGAAAAACTCCCACCAATTGTTTTTTAATTAACAGGAGAGCCTCAATATTATTTTCTCTATTCAAGATTTTATTAAAAGCCAAATATTAAAACATTTATACAGGGTGAGCCATTTAACTTGAAACTGAAATATCTCAGTTAGTATGTATTTTACGAAAAAAAAATTAAGATAAAAATTAAATGATTCGAAGGGGAAAATCAATCAGTACTAAAATTGGTCCTCATACTCTCCTCCTTATAGGGGAAACAGGGGGTAATGAAAAAAATCAATTTTGTTAGATTTTTCTTCTGTATACGATTCTGCAATAATTTTTCTATAAAAATATCACTTTTTTCGTAATAATTATCTTATTAAATTAAATCTGATTTTTTTAAGTACCCACGATTTTTTAACTATTTAAGTTTCCTTTGGTTTAAGTTTTATACATTATTTCATTCGGTGATAATTATCAATTGCGCACCATGGTCACTTTTTACCTGCCAGCATTTAATGTAAAGGATTATTGTACTATTTTTAATGAAAATACCTCATTTAAGGAAAACAAAACATTATTTTGTCAATTAATTAATTTATTCCTAATTGAGGTGTAAAAAATGGTAATTAGTTATAAATAATAATTATTATTAAGGTATAAAGAAACTATAAACTATTTATAGTTTAGCATTATTTAATCAATTTATTTCGAAGATTAATTTGCAAACAAAAAGACCTCCTTTCATTAAGCAGTTATTCATAATGGAATTTTTAACAGTGGGAGAAAAAATAGAAATGATTTTGATTTATGGTGAAGCAGGCAGGAATCTTGATGATGCTGTTGATATCTACGCTCAGCTTTTTCCGGATAAAATTCAATCACGTACTTCATTTCGCCGTACAGTCAAGCAGTTTACTACAAACGGGAGTGTTCAACCGAAAAAGAGTTTGTCGAGCAACCGTCACAGGTGGAAATAATGAAATTAATGTATTAGCAGCAACGGCCGCTAATCCTCATGCAGTGTTAGCAGAATATTAAAACGAAATGCAAATTAAAAAATGCATTGAAGTCGAAGGCCACCATTTTGGGCACCTACTTTAATTAAAATTTAAAAAATAAATAAATTTAAAAATAAAACCAAGTATTTCATTTAAAAATTATTGGAGAATCGTATACAGAAGAAAAATCGAACAAAATTGATTCTATCTATCTATTACAAATATGACAAAATGTTTTAGACAAAATCTACCTATTTTTAGTCGAATGATCCGAATCTGCAATAAAAAATAGGGTGTTCCATTGAAAATTTTAAAGTTACCCCCTGTTCCTCCTATAAGGAGGAGAGTATGAGGATTTTAGTACTGATTGATTTCCCCCCTCGAATCATTTAATTTCAGGGCTCCCACGGCTAAATTACAAATTTTATTTAGGAGTTTTTTTGGAGAATTTAAAAAAAAATGAAGTATGCAATGAATTTATGTAATTAAATAAAAACAACTCTACACTGTACTTAAAAATAAGAAAAAAAAAATAATTCTTTTTAACAAAAATATAAATAAATATCAATTCTTTTGTACAAATAGGTTACATTTATTAGGTTTTTAGCCAAATCGACAAGTTCCACAAGTGTGTGGTATATACACGTAGAAAAGTAGAAATTTCACCTCACTTTTAATTTTATTTAAAAATAAACGCGTCGATAATTATGGCTAAAAAACTAGGCCATACGCAAATAATGTTAAATTTATATTTTGAAAAAAAAATGTTAACCGTTTAGTTAATAATTAACAACAATTGTAATGTGGATCTTGTTACTCAAAAATCTCATTATAGAAAAAATATAAAAAGCAAAACATTCTTAAGATTGCTTACTACTTTAAAGGAAAATTAAAAATCCCTTTGTTTGATATATATATATATATATATATATATATATATATATATATATATATATAGATATATACAGCGCCCCAAGTGAACTCCGCAATGTAAAAATCGCGGTAAAGGTGGCATCCAGGGCAAATTGACATCCGTATATCGGATGCCACTTTGCCATTCGTCCAAAAATTCTGTCAGTCACCTCATCTGATCCCTCTCTATTGAGCCAACCGATTTTTAGAAGGACGTTAAAGTGACGATATTTGGTGCATTTCTATATAATATAGTTCATGAGTATATTCTGTAGGTGGTGCTGCCGGAAGATTTAATTATACATTTTTTATTCATACAACGACTAAGTTGGCTTCCAGTGGAACTGGCAACTGTGTATTGCTAAGAATATACATTTTTGTACTTTTTAGCGACTACAATGGCCTCCGTTTAAAAAATAAACAATTTCATATCTTACAACAACTAAAGTGTCGAATTTAATGGACAGGCAGCCTATTAACTCAATACTGTTAAGCTACCTAGAGCGGTAAATTTTTAGGGGCGGCAAATTTTGACCGTTTAAACTATAGATATAACGCAACTTAGGTGATTAAAAAATGATGTTTTATTATAATATATGTGGTTATGGAAACATATCTTCTTTCAATCTAAAACCATTGCTTAACACTTTGGGATTTGTGATTATCTTATCAGATTTTTTGAAGAATGCGCTGTTTGACTCTAAACCATCGAATAATTAGGTATGTAACAAAATGAAGGATTTTTTTATATTAAAACAATTGTTATAAGACTAAAAATATTTATAATTTTTTAAACTTATTACATACATAAACTTTAACAACTGGCCAAGTTTTGTGCTGGAAAACGCTGGGATGGTTTTCAATTAAATTTAGCATATGTTGTTATTTTCCGAAGTTGTTTTGCTAACTTGACATGGTTGACCATGGGGTAATGTGATTTTTTTAATAAGGGGTCAGGCACCAAGTAAAGTTGTATACTAGATTACTTACTTCATGGTAAATTGTTTTCAATTTTTTTTTCACCTCCACAGACCTATATACAGGGTGACATGCTAATATTTCAGAATGTAATTCCTCATGAGGACCTGCAGGTCATTGTATGAAGTAAACTGCATATAAAAGCATGTCCTAACTTGCTTCATTTTCAGCGTTTTAAAGTTTTTAAAAAATCAGTTTTTATTATTGTACACCACTTTTTTTTGAAAATTTTATATCTTCTTTAGATCAAACAATTCAAAATATAATTTTTTTCGCCCCAGAGCGGTAAAACGATTTTTTTCGAATTCAATCCAATATTCGAAAGCTTAGCAAGATTCGAAAAAAACACTATACTATACTATACTATACTATACTATAGCGGCATATGCCATATCACGAAAATCAAGGAATTTAGGACATAAGTTTATGTGAACTTTTTTTCAAGAAATGACCTGAGGAATCACAACCTGAAAGATTAGCATGCCATTAAGGAAATCCTGAAAATGATTTTTTAATGAATTTTAAAGCCATTTCGACAGAGGAAAATTTGATTTTTAGTCAATAATTTAAACTTGATGTTTAAGTTAAATACAACTTTTTAAAGAAGCTATATAAGAATTTTTATATTCTAATATAATTAGTTAATTAATATTCTTATATTTCAACAAAAAAACTTTGATTCACTCTACCTTATAATGGACAGTAGTAGTAGTAATAATATTATAGTTAGTATAGTAATGTAAATATAATACTTTTTCATCAAACGTTAGAGAAAACAAATAAATAAAAATATAAAACACTTTTTACGAATATTAACAATTACGAAAGATTAAATTAAACCTACCGTGGCGGTAGAAATAAATTCAGCGATACGTTGTTCTCTTAAAAAAACTGGCAACGTTGCTGGAAGTCATTTTGCCAAAATATTGCTATATACAGAAGCCAAAGTATCCTATTTAAGAAATATAAATTATACGGAGGTCAGACTGACCGATATATGGGTGGAGGCCACCTTTGCCGCTATTTCTACCCACAATATACACGCTGTATATTGGTGGATGCCAAACGACAATGTTTCTGAACGGAGGTCAATCGTTCCGCTATATAAATATATATATATATATTTTTTGTCGAAAACAAACGAAAAATGGCTAAAAATTACAATTTTGTAGAAGTCTAGGAGCTACTAAATGGATTTTGTTTTTAAGGTATATTTTGTTGTTTTTTAAGAAAAATGTAAAATGATACATATCATTTTAAAAGGAATTTAATAAACTAGAACTTAAAAATATATATATTTTTAAATTACTTTTTAGAAAAGAATTTTTTTAGCACGACAACTACCTTAATTAAAAGCAGTCGAGTTGGCCTACTTTTAGGAGAATTTTAGGAGTTTTCAAGATTTTAGCCAAATTTTAGGAATTTTATGAGTTTTAGGAGGTGTGGGAGCCCTGTAATTTTTATTTTAAATTTTTTTCTTAAAATGCATACTAACTGAGATATTTCAGTTTCAAGTTAAATGACTCACTCTGTATATTTATACAAAGCCTTAAAAATCGTTTGACGGACTTAAAATTATATTTTGCAATGCTCTGTTTGATTAAAACATTTCCACGAACTATTGCAATACTTCAAAACGCTAATTTGCGGAAAGCACTTTTCGCCGACTCATCAAAATTTATTAATTATTTTTTCAAGAAAATCGTTCGGTTCCGAATCATTTTCCAACAAACTGTAAAGGACGCTCTATAACGGAAAACTGAGCTGTTTATGCGAGTGCCCCGCATAATTATTGATCATTTTTGTAATTGCCTTTAATTGCTGCTAGCTAGTAATGTACACCTTACTATTTGAAATATGCAAGACTTGCATATGCAATTTTAAATATTTAGGTTTGAAAGTTTACTTTCTAGTGCAATTTTATATTATTTTTGTCGATTAGAAACAAAGAATATGGCAAAATAATAATATTCATATTACCTACTTACATTTAACAGCTCTGCTGTGTTGTGCTCTAATGTGGAAAAAATAAAAAATAATAAAACATTGGTAGCTTTCATTAGTATTGTGACTATTGATTTAACTTGCAATTTGCAGTAAATTTTGATGCTTTCTAGCACATATTTTTGTTCTTAAAAAAAGCGTAATCAATCTAATTTCCTCCAAATTGCAATGATACACTTTCAAATTTCTCCTAATTATTATCATAAACAGATCCTTTCGGATCAATTCAATTTATTAGGAGGCAATTTTTATGGTTTGACTGTATCGCTAATTGGCTAGTTAATTTTTTTACTTATTTTGTTACATTTAAGGATTTTCAGGTTATGTATCTGTCAAAGTATAGTCAATGAAAGAAATAATATTTATAGTCTTACCGCTTATGTTTAAGCGTTAAAAGTTAATAAATCTTTATAGTATCACAATAACAATGGTTGTTTTAAGAATTTAGGAATATAAATACTGCATTTAATGAAATTTCAAAGTGTAAGGTGCAATATAAGTGATATTTTTGTGCATTGGGTCTACACGGAGAGAAAAATTTTGCCAAAATAACTATCCAAAGTATTGTTAAATGACGTATCGTGAATTTAGTCCACTGTTTTATTAAAGTGAGGATCTGTATAGCTAATTTAGCCATACAAATCCTCAGTTTAATAAAACAGTTGACTAAATTCACGATACGTCATTTAACAATACTTTGGATAGTTATTTTAGCAAAATTTGTCTCTCCGTGTACATTTCTCCATAAAATAGAACTAAACAGGATTTATTAAAAAAAATCTAACTTCTCTATTATGAAATAAAAATATCTGTATCAAAGGTAGGTTAATGTATTAGAACAAAAAATATCATCTAATTTTGTATTTTAAGGTTAGAAAAATCTATTTTGACCTTAATAAGTAAGTGGATTATTTGGAAGAGTGTGTTAATATGGTCATAAATAAATATAGGTATACTAAATAATTGTTGAATATGGTTCAAATTAAATTGAAGCTTTTATATTTCTAACGACAAAACTTGTGCGTACCTCTCGGCATACCTACTTTAAGTTAGATTATAAGAAAACAAACAATTTTTAGAGAAACTTGCAATGTGAAAATATTTAATACTCCCATGACATGTGATTTATTAAAATATTAAAGTTATAATGATTTTTCGATGTAGATCAAATTCAGTCGAAGCTTTTTAACTATTTGTATTGACAAAACTTTACTATAGTAAAGAAATATATGTTTGTTATAGCAATGTATGTGGTAGTCCATATATGAAACATAAAATATATTTACCTTAACCATTTTTATATTTAGTTTTAACATAATATGGTTAAGGCAAATATAAATATGGTTAAGGCAAATATATTTTATGTTTCATATATGAACTACCACATACATTGCTATAACAAACATATATTTCTTTCAGTGATATAGGTACACTTATTCCATAATAGAGAAGCTAGATTTTTTTAATAAATGCTGTTTGGTTAAAATTATTTTATGGAGAAAACCAGATATTTGGACCAAATGCACAAAAATATTACTTATTTGGCACCATACACTTTAGAATTTCATTAAATGCAGTATTTATATTCTTAAATTCCTAAACCATCCATTGTTATTGTAATTTTATAAAGATTTATACATTTTTAACGCCTAACCATAATATTATTTCTAAGAAATAATAAGGGATAAGGATACATTTTCCAAATTTTGAAAAAATTTCATTTTTACAAAAATTTTGTTATTACAAAATTTTAAAAAACAATTTTTTTTTAAATATCCAAAATTAAAAAAAAAAAAAATCCAAAATTTAATATATTAATTATTATACAGAGTGTTTTACATTCCATTAGATTTGTTTGGAAAACGGAAAAATATATCGATTTGAAATTTTAAAAGCAAATAGAATCAATTTGTTTTTGTAAACAAAATTACTGATAAAAAATAGCAGTCAGTGACTTATAAAAAAATATATAAGCCATATTTAAAATTTAAAAGTAATACGAACAGCAAATTTTGTTACTTTATTTGTTATTTTAGTCAAGAAGAGCAATGCCTAATGTAGAATAATTAAGAAATAATAATTAAGAAATGCTTGAATGTAAATGTAGGAAACTTTAAACATTTAAAAATAATTGAGTAATAAAAATTGTTAATAAAAATATTGTTGGTTTATTAAAGTTCTTTTTGTTATTAGAATAGTTCATAAAATAAGTTTTATATTTTATCGTCTCAAATGAGCTAGTGCTTTATCTAGTTGACATCCTACAGCTTTGTTGAGTTTTTTTCAAAATTAGCAAATACTGTTTGTACGGGAATCTATAAATGGCATTACGATTTTAAAATAAAAAAAGTTAAAGGGGGGCGACATTATAGGGGATCACCCTGTACATATTTTTGTTTCCAAATAAATTGGTTATTTTATTTGTAAAATTTAATAATGTAATAACGGGAACATGGCTAAGAAAGCATAAAGTAAATATTTTTACAAATGATTGAAAACTGTACATACATATTTATATCTTGGCAATTAAAAATTAAAATGTCATTAAAAATATTCTAAAATTTAAAATTAAGTAATTATATTTATCATTAGGATGCTATTTATAAACGGCAAATTTAACAAATTAAAAATTGATTTCAGCGGTAAATTATAATTAGAAATTCAGATCGTCAAAACCTTTAACCTTTTAGCAGTTCAACAAAATTTAAAGGGGAATTTTATCTCAAAAATTTAAGAGGAAAAAACGATTTAAATTTTTGGCGTTTACAAAGGTAAATAAAAAACAACTTACTCGCCTGAAAACTGTTACTTTAATCTCGCAAAAACTAGTTTTCTTGATGGATCTTGAACAGCTGCATAGTGCTTTATCGAACCCGAGATATCAGAACACGTCAAGTCTTGCAGTATAAAATTTTTTCGAAAAGATTAGTTAATTAAAAAGAAATTCGCTTTCTCGAGTAAATATCTCGATGCATCGGCGTTTAAAAAATTGCTAAATTTCACTATGCGCAATGATTCGTCTTTTGTGATGGCAGCAGACAATGCCTGCAAATGCCACCTTGGATCAGACAAGCTAACGTCACGGTACGAGTTTAACATAAAAGATAGAAATTTGGCGGTCTGAATGAATCTTGATGTTTTGAAATATACACATAACAAATCTTATATTAAATCACCCAGTAATTACGAGAAACAGTATTTAAAAAATGAATTGAAAACCACAACACCACATACCACAATATAGTAATAATAAAACTCAGTTTTAAAAATTCACTACAATTCAATTTGGGAAAATTATAAAACGTTTGATAAAATTCACTAAGCATTTATTAAACATTTGTTTAGTAACATTACTATACAGGTATTGTAATTTTGCTAAAAAAAATACTAAATATGTTTAGTAATTTTAAAATGGTGTATTGTAATTATACTATACAATTCATTTCAACTCAGTTTAAGAAAATTACAAAATATATTTTACAATTTTACTGAACTGAAGAAAATTCGTTTCGCAATATTACAATACAAATATTGTTATTTTGTACAACAAATTAAACTAAAAATTATTAGTAATTATACTACGAAAAAAAACCTGCAATTTTCTTAGTTTATCCAAGAAACTTTCTTGACCCATTACTGTAAAGATTTAAAAAAATTGAACCTTCACCTCGCCAGTTTTTGTTTTAAGTGCGTTCCACCAACTTCAAATACAGACAGACAGCTAGACAGATATACCCATTACACCTAAGTCAACCGAGGCGAGATGTAAGAACATCCGCAATCGGTACGTACTATGCATTTTACATAACATTATAACAAATCAAATTACAAACAACGTTTGTAAATCTAAGATGCTTTTTATTAGAATTTGTCAAACTCTTTAGTAAAATTACAATGCTTGTAGGATTTATACATATAGATTGAAAAATTACAACTTATCTTATAAGTATACTATAGTAGATTTTCCAACATGTCTTGGAAGATTACTCAAATTGTATTAAAATTTTGTATTGGTATACACTGATTTGTAATTTTACTCATCCTTTGTTTTGCAAAACAATTGTAATTTTACAAAAAAAATAAATAGTGTACATGATTAAAATAATATATAGTAAAAATGCAAACAGAAGTTGTATATAATAAATAATGATTTGTCTATTTACAAACACGTATTGTAATTCAAATAGCAAATTTTGGTTAGTAATTTTATTGATTATCTTAGTAAAATTAAATTCCCAATATGTATAGAAATTTTACAAAATTTTAAATTCAATTCTACAATACAGATTTGTAAAAATACTATAAGTATCTGACAAAAGAGTCAATCCAAATGAAAACACCAAAAATGAGTTTAAAAGTGCGCTGCATGATTTTTTATTGTAATGAAAAAATTTGAGGATGATCTTTTAGGTATCAAATATAAAAATCCGTTGCCGTTTTAATTTTTTGTTGCTTTACTTTTATTTGGCACCCCTTAGAAGTCTGAAATAGTGTCAATTTCTTACTCTCTTATAGTGGGCCAGAACTTTTTTCTGTGACAAATATTAAAATATTTTTAATTTTGTTTTACTGTTCAGTAAGTGTGTTTTCGATATAAATTATTATTATCCAATTAGTTAATCTCATAAAAGATTGGTAAACCACTAAAGATTCATGATAATTTGCCAATTTTTGTGATTTTTGTCTGGCTCCTGTGCCTATTCTACTGAATTTAGAAGGTTCATTTTTATCAGGTATAAAGTACTTATACAATAGAAATCGTAACTATTATTTTAAGTTTCTAGACTATCAATTTCTTTATTAAAAAAATTATTGAAAATTGATAATTCTCAAAATTAGCCAATTTTGCCCTAAGAAATCATTATGTTGAGGAAAAAATAAAAATCTGAAACTTTTAGGAAATGTAGTCCCCACCTTCATCTTTTCAGTCCAGTTAGTCTTGTTTTGTTATTTTTATTCCTTTAAAAGATATATTAATTTTTTTAATGCCCGTTTAGTAGCGATGTTGTTAGTTTTATTTGTAATTTAAAATTTAGATGGCTTTGACTTTGTCAATTCATGTTTGGTAGAGAAATGTCAGAGCTGTGAAAAATATTTCATAAATTTTATTTGTGTGTATTTAAATTGTGATTTCAAAAAGTTTGCAAGTTTGCAAGTGTAATAAATGACGGAGTGTTCGAGATTCATGAATTTAATTGCAATTAAAAATGCAAGAACATATCATAATTTTGTACCTCTTTTTTATAGAAAATATTTATCTGAGAATTTTTAAATTGTTAAAAATAAGCAAAAACCAAAAAATATTCTAAATAAACCCCTTTATTATACCATGTTTTATTTTAACCAGTTACCTAAAAACTAAAATTTAAAGAAGTATTTACAGATTGTGTTAATTTTTTCCAACACTCACATTTAAAATACATACATTTAACTTTTAACTATTTAGTGCCTTACTAAAGGGATCAAAATAATAGAACAAGACTATAGTCTTATAGTTATAACTTGGTTTAAATTGTGAAAGAAACCGACAAAAAACTGCTTAACGCATTTTTTATACGTTTAAATTAACTCTTTATTAATTTCACTTATTATACTTAACGATATAAACCATAAGGATCTGAAATATATTTTTTATATTCTTCTTCTTTAAACACCAATAAGCCAATTAAATACTTCATTATAATGTATATAATATATATATATATATATATATATATATATATATATATATGATTTTTCAATACATAAAATATAACATAACTACCAAAAATATCAGAACTCAAAAATATTTCATAATTATTATTTGTGGTATTCCTTTGGTGATTTTAAAAAGTTTTATATATAACATAATATTACATATTATGTTATATACAAAATTTACCAAAGAAATACGCACAAATAAAATTTATGAAATATTTTTGACAGTTCTGACACTTCTCCACCAAACATGAAAGCCATCTAAATTTTAAATTATAAATAAAACTAACAATATCGCTACTAAACGGCCATTAAAAAATTAATATATCTTTTAAAGGAATAAAAATAACAAAACAAGACTAACTGGACTGAAAAGATGAAGGTGGGGACTACATTTCCTGAAATTTTCAGATTTTTATTTTTTCCTCAACATAATGATTTCTGAGGGCAAAATTGGCTAATTTTGAGAATTATCAATTTTCAATAATTTTTTTAATAAAGAAATTGATAGTCTAGAAACTTAAAATAATAGTTACGTTTTCTATTGTATAAGTACTTTATACCTGAAAAAAATGAACCTTCTAAATTCAGTAGAATAGGCACAGGAGCCAGACAAAAATCACAAAAATTGGCAAATTATCATGAATCTTTAGTGGTTTACCATTCTTTTATGAGATTAACTAATTGAATAAAAATAATTTATATCGAAAACACACTTACTGGACAGTATAACAAAATTAAAATTATTTCAATATTTGTCACAGAAAAAAAGTTCTGGCCCACTATAAGAGAGTAAGAAATTGACACTATTTCAGACTTCTAAGGGGTGCCAAATAAAAGTAAAGCAACAAAAAATTAAAACGGCAACGGATTTTCATATTTGACACCTAAAAGATCATCCTCAAATTTTTTCATCAAAATAAAAAATCACGCAGCGCACCCCATTTGGTGTTTTTATTTGGAATGACTCAAAAACAAAAACATTGTAAAATTGGAACCTGTTTGGTACTTTGGCTATAACAAAATGTAATATTACAACAAATGCGTATTAAAATTGCAAGACAATACATCATTTTGTAATTTTACTATGCAACTGCTTAGTAAAAATGTAGTAATTTTACAAAAAATTTTAACAGTGATGCTGGTACACACATTTTTTGTAATCTGTTCTCTAGAAAATTTGTTTCAATAAATTTTTCTTTATTTTTGTAATAAATTGGTTCAGATAAAGTGCTTTTTATTTCCAAATCACTTTTTAAAAAATCTAAATTGTACACTTTTTACACAAAAAGCTATTGTCTTTTTTTAGGTTACTAAGCTTCTTTTAACGAGTCTTTAAATCATATTGCTACTGTACTAGTTGGTATGTGGTATGGTACTACTGAATAATTTCTAAGAAGCCAGTTGCATAAATTCTCAATTATAATTGCAATTATGCTTATAATTAATTATAAGCAAGGAATCTGTTTGACGCGTTTTGTTGTAATAGTATTTTTTCCCGTAAGCACACGATTTATAAATTGAACCGTAATTGGCTGTCGTTCTAAAAAATATATATATTAATTATTTTTAATAATATGGACGTTTTTCGTTCCATTTTAATAAAGATCGACAAAATTTAATAAATAGTTTTTGTTTGTGTTTTCTTTTAAATACAGATTGACAATTGACAATATCATGGTGAAAAACTACTTCTATATCGGATTTAACCGATGGTTAGTCAATTTTCAAGAAATACATTTCGATTTTTACATAAAAATTTGACATTTTAGCTGGCGCGCCGGTAATACAGATTCCTAGAGTTACTAATTTGAAGTTAAAATTGTTACTATATTCTTTTATAGATGTCGCTCTATATAAATATTTAATTAAACATTTTTAGATAATAATAATAAGTATTTGTCGTTTATAAACTTTTCTAGACACTCTTTTAATTAAACACTCGCTCGCAAGCTCGATCGTGCCTAATTAAAATTCGTAAATAGAATGGCGTGTATCAAACTTGAGAAAGTTTTAAAATTAACAAAAAAAGTATGTAAAAACACAGTATACCGGGTGAGTTTTTAAAAGTGTTATTTCGAAAACAGTTTAATTTTTTTTTTAATTTTCGTAAACTAATATAGAGGGGAAAGGACATATTTAAACAAATTTTTGACACCTACCCACTTTCTCTATTTTGAGGGGTAACTTTGGTTTTTCAATAGAGCTGATTTATTTATTTTTTTAATTCAAATCAATGTAAAAAACTAGGAATGTGTGCAAAAAAAGATTGTTTTGCGCTTTCGCGTGCGGAATTATGATTTATTAAATTATAAGATACTAAAAAAATATTTTAATTTATTTATGAAGTGTACGAAATTCATTTAGAAAAAGAGTGAGAAAGTGTTTGGAAGTTGAAGGGTGACTTTAAAGAATTTCTCAGACATC